GGTCCCCCGGTCCCTGTGCGAGGTATGAGTGCTGAGCCAGCATCCGGTAGAGCACAGGCCTGCCTGAGGGCGAGTCCGAGTCCTACAGGAGAAAGCCAGCATGGAGGTTGCAAGGCAAAGCAGAGATGTGAGGCCAGCACAGCAGAGAAGCGTGTCCCAGCCCACGTACCTGGCAGCAGAGCGTCAGCCTGCCATCTGTCAGCTGCTGCCACAGCTTCCCCAGATCCTCCTCGCCCGTAACTGCTCCCAGTTCTTTGCCATCTGAATGCTGGTAGCTGCAAGGGTTCATTAACACAGCTCAGATCAGCTCACTTAAAGACAAACCTTGGGGCAAGCCTAATCCTCTAACATCTTCAAAGTCCCCTTTGTCAGCCAGCTCTGAGCTTGTCACCGTGCACCAGGACATGGGGCCACCCTGCATTCCCCGCGGGCAGAAACAGCACTGTTGGGGTGACACTGTCACCTCCTCACACACTTACTTGAGGGCAAGATCCTAAACTCTACACTGTCTGTGTGTCCCCAGAGGTGTCACAGTCAGGGACACTTCACCCCAGGACCGACACACGCTTACACCCAACTCCTAAATTACACTGGGACCAACGCAGAGCATCTCAAAGGCTGAGCTGAGTGGAGGAAAATACAGCTGCAATCTGCACAGAGTTTTTCCTTCTGTTCCCCCATTTCTTGACCAAGTCTCCTGGGAAAGATCATTTGGGCATGCAAAGCCCATGGGGCACATGCTGTTCTCCAAATCAAAAGCCATAGTGAGGTTAGCCCCGCAGCCAAGGCTGTTTGCTCACGTCTTTGCTGAATCTCTGCTTTGACCCCAAGTAGATGTTCCCAGGAGAGCCGACAGAGGTCTGCATCCTCAGGGGAACGGCTGCTGCCGCCCTGTCACACCCACGTGCACCGAGCACGCTGGAGGGTGGCTGTGCCGCAGTGTACCTCAGTTTTCCCCGCTCTCCGCTCCCGCAGCAGCGCCCGCAGCCCTGGCACAGACGGCACCTCGCCCGCCCGCACCACCACGGTGCACTCGCAATGCGCTCTCAGCACCACGGGTCTCTCCGCGCTGGGTGAAGCATCTCCTCCAGCTGGTGGGAGCTGCTGAGAGATGTGGCCCCAGGGATAGTCAGGTTATTCAGGACCCTCGTATCAGAGGTGACACAGACACGACCCCCGTCTCAGCGGTACCATGTAACAGTGGTGCAGCACCAAAGCGCAGATCTGAATTTCAGAGGGGGAACTACAGATTCGAAGCCTGGGATGAAATGTTCCTCCCACAGCCCAGGCAGCCCATTCCTGGGTCCCCAACCCCACACCCACCCCAGCAGAGCCCCAGTTCCCCGGCCAGCTGCAGCAGGGCAGCCAAGTCCTCACGTTCTGCTGCCTTCTCTCCAAAGTACAGCTGACAAAAAATTCCTCCAAAAGCCCTTGCCAGAGGGATGGAGAAGACACAATGAGCAGAGCTGATGTGCGGCTGGCACTGCCAGAGAGGTGCTGTCCCCAGGTGGACACAGGAGTGATTCCAACTCCATCACACAGCGGTTGGTAATGGCATGGGGGTACTGCATCATCCCAGAACGTAAATTTGAATGAACTGTGATACCCAGACTGACAGGGACAGAAAACGCGACCCAGGAGGAGGGGGAAAGGGACGGCAGGTAGGTCAAAGACAGCTCCCTCTTGCAAAATGGGCTGCAAGGCGCGTGCCTGGGAACACTGCTGTGTCTGCAGCTCCTGGCCCCTTGGAGGGTGGCAAAAGGGCACTGCCTTGGTCAGCCTCAACCCTGGGCTGCCTTGGAAAGCTCTGTGGTCACAAACTTGGGAGTGGTGGAGAAAAGACCACGAGAACCTGTCTTTGGAATGGGAAAACAGGCAGAGGGAGAGCTTTTCCCAGCGATTTTGGGGGAACTCAAAAATTCTGGAGGATCTGGCTCTGGCCAGGAATCTTGCACTTTTTACAGCCTTGATCTCTCGAGGCTGTGCCAGCTTTGGCTTGTGAAACATCTTACCTTGAAGTCCAGTTGGGCACCAGCATCATTTCCAGAGGCATTTTCTCCCCCAGGAGATGCTGCAGAACAAGACAAGAGCAGAGGAACAGCGCCTGCAGTCAGCAGAGGCCCTGGGCAGCTCTTTGTGACCTGCTAGCAGGCAGGCAGCCATGGCTGAGGGGGGGCAGCCATCCCCCCCACGCATCCCTAAAGCTGGGGGGTGGGCACAGCTTCCCACAGCACCCACTGAGGCCCCTGGCCCAGGGGAATACCTGGCTTCTGCTGCACGTGGAGTCGGCTGGGAGGCACCTGAGCAGGAGGGAGGGGAATCCCGTTGCTGATCTTCTGCAAGAGAACAACAGCAGGAAGCAGTGAGCAGAAGACACCAGAGACCAAGGCTGGTGTGCACGGCAGGGGCTGCAGCCAGTTACAGATCCCTGGGTGTAGCCCCAGAGAGAGCCCCAGGGAAACCAGTTCATTAAATCACAGAATCACAGGATGGTTTGGGTTGGAAGGGACCTTAGGGATCAACCAGTGCCAGCCCCTGCCATGGGCAGGGACACCTCCCACCAGCCCAGGTTGCCCAAAGCCTCATCCAGCCTGGCCTTGAACCCCTCCAGGGATGGGGCATCCACAGCTTCTCTGGGCAACCTGGGCCACTGCCTCACCCCCCGCACAGGAAAACATTTCTTCCTCACATCTCATCTCAAACTCCCCTCTTTCAGCTTAATGGCTGGATGAGGTGGGGCACTGGGGCTCTGGATGGTCTCTGCAGCTGTTGTGGGTAGCTGGGGGGATGAGGGGTTTGGTGGGACGTTTCCTTGGCCTCCTGCCCCTGGCTGAGCTGGTGCTGGAGCAGAGCGAGGCTGCTCGCGCTGTGCTGAGGGCTCTCCGCACCGTCTGCCAGCTCATCCGGCCAAACTTCCCTCAGTTCACAGCGAGACATCCATGGAGCAATGCCCAAGTGTGTGCTATGGCTAGGGACACTTTTGGAGGAAAAAAAAAAAAAAATCATAGCAGCATCAGAACAACCATGTGCTTCAGAAAACTCTCACGGGAAATAGGGGTCTGAGCTGCACCTTTCCATGCTGAGTTCAGATGGAAAATAACTGGGATCATGGGTGGATACGGCTGTGGTGGAGATGGGAGATGAAGGAAGCTTTCCTAAGCCAAAGGTGAGGATTTAGGGCTTAGGCGCATGGCCTCAAGGCAAAGAGCAGTGTCTGTTTAAGATATTACTGTGCCAGTGCAGGAGATTAACCTGCTCTCACGCTGCTGGTGAAGGAGAACACGTGAGCACTCCTCACCCGCTTCTGTGCTAGTCACTGCGGACATCACGGGCACCAGCTGGATGAACGTGTGCCTCAAGCCCTCAAACTCGCCATTGTGCTCCAGGGGCTCAACAAGTGACAGTGGGTCAGGAGAGCCGTGGCAGGGGCTCATCTTTGTGTGCTCCATCAGCCCGCACCAGGCAAGAGAGAAAAATACCCAGATCAGCCCGTGATGCAAGTCACTGTGGCTTCGGTAGATGTCCAGCCCCCAGGTTATGCTGTAAAGAGATCCAATGTAATTAAAAAAAAAATAAAGGCATTTCTCCTGTTCTTAACTCTTCTGTTGTTCCAGTTTAGGAGCACTTGGTCTTCACTCAAGGCGTCTGAGCTGAAACACTCTTACATTTCTCTTACACAATTGTCCTGTCCTGTAATAATCTTACAAACCTTCCAAACCTATTTCTTGGTCCCCTCCTCACCCTCGCTTTGCGAGGTTGTCAGCTCACCCATTTATCCATCTTTGAGGCAGGCTCCAGGAGAGAACTTGGGATGTGCAGCTTCTGCGGGACACAAAGCAGAGCAGGGTGAGGCAGGAGCTGCTGCTCCAGCAGCCAGAGCCCCAGCCCACCCGCCCCATCTCTGTCAGCCCCACGCTGCACTACTGCTGCCCTTGCAGAGCCCCACTGCCTGCCCACCCTGCTGCAACACCGGTGTCCCCGGGGGGCCCAGAGTCACATCCAGCAGCCCATGTGACTTAGGGCGTTGAGGGGACACCAGTCCAGCAGCATTTCTGTGTCTTCTGACAATCACTGCTTTAGAGATATCCATTTCAACGGATCATTGTGAGCTTTCTTTTTTCCCCAGTATCTATTATTTTATTTTTTTGGCTTTGAATTTCATCTGACACTTCACTGAGCAGCCAACCAGCACATTCAAATTGTAATTGTTCACTGTGAGTTCCAGATGCTTCAGGACATGCTGAACAGTTTGACTGTCCATCATGGACCATGGTCACCGTAAGAAGCACTATATCACTGTCCCTATTACTGTATCACTTAGGAATAGGCTAAATGCTTAGGTCACAGCAGATTATCTGTGGGGACATCCTTTCTTTAAAAAAAAAAAAAAAGAAAAAGCTATTCATTTATGCCCACCTTTATTTCACTGCCTCTCCTGCTCAAACAGCTCACAGGTTTTTTAGTGGTCTTGTGAAGACTCTTTTGACTTTTTTTGGAAATATAGGCAGATAATATATTCACTGGCTCACCCTAATCCAGGTATGCACTGGCTCTTTCAAAGAACTTAAGCAGACGTGAGAAATGGCTTCTGTCAACAAAAGATTTTCCACCTTGTCATATTTATATTTCAATTCAATCTGTTTACACTGTCGTTCCCTAGTCTGCAGAAAGATGTCAGATTTGCTGGACTTTTATTCCTTAGATCTTCTCTAGAGCCCATTATAAAACCCTCCTGCACGGCTGAAACCTTCCCAAAGCTCATTTAACAGAGGCACTACCCACCAGGTAAGGATGGAACTATCTCCTTGGCTCCATTAGAGCTCCCAGGGGACAAATCCTGCTCTAAATGGTCCTTGGTGAGGTCTGGTATCCTACAGGATTCCACAATAGGATCCTGTACAGCAGAGAGTGCAAGTGTCCCCAAAGCTGCCCCTATGGAGCTATAGAGGTGAACGGGAGAAGCTGGTGTGAGCCAAGTATCCGAAAAATCAACGGTCAGTAACTGGTGTGCGGCCATGAGCTCCTGAGGTCCTCCTCTGCTCTGCAGTGCTGCAGGCTGGTCCCCAAGGAACGTGCTCAGAGGGTTGCAGCTGTGGTCTCTGCTGGTGGGGAGAGGCTGGAGACGCCCCCGTTCTCCTTACCTGTCCATCGTGGATGGCTGTCGCCCAGCCGTCTGCTCCCCTCGTCAGCACAAAGACCAGGCTGCTGGCTTTCACTGCCGGCTTCTCCGAGTCCTCAGGGTAGTAATGGGACACAACTCGATAGTAGCCTGACTCGCTGTCTCTGGAAAGGAAGAATGAGAGCACCTTTACTAACCCTGCTGGTGCTGGATGGCTTTGATCCAGAACACTGCACCGATGCAAACTGGCACGTGCCAGAAGTTTCAGGTGTTGGGAAATGACGATTTCCATCACTACTCTTTGGTCCAGCTGGGAACGAAAGGAGCTTGGCAAACACTGATTTCCCAAAGGCAACTGCCCCATCTTCACCGTACTGATAACCATTCTCCAGATCAAAACAATTATTAAACTCAGCCCTGAAGTACTGCTGGAACGATATCACCAAAACAAATGACTTTAATGTTTTTTGAACCAAGGCTCAGGACAGCAGGGCTGGGAGTGAGGGACTGGAAGCCTTGTCCTGGGAACTGGGATGGGACAGCTGAGCATCTTCTGCCACAGACCTGGCCATGTCCCACAGCTTCTCTCTTTTTCCATTTCCCCTTCGCAGCATGATCCATGGCTGCCTCCCAAGACTATTGAATCAGCTCCTGCAAACTGCCCTGAGACTCTCGCACGGGAGATGCCACTGAACTGCGGCGTCCTGCAGCCACAAAGCCTTTGCACGTTTGTCACTCACTCCACCCTTAGCGAGAAGTGGGTGTGGATCCCAGAGAATCTTCAAAGACATCAGTGAACAAACATGACCTTCTGAACAGAAACAGCAAGAGAAGAGTTAGGCCAAGGTGGAACTGAACACTTACCGCCGAGCGTCAGCACTGGGTTCATAAAAGCCCTGCTTCTGTGGGAGGAACAACAGCATCGATTTATAATGGTCCCTTACACAGCAACAGTGCCACCTTACCGACTGTCCCTCTGAACACCACCCTGGGGTATTTTGTCTTTACTTTTTACCACATTTGTCATACCACAGCACCCAGACAGAAGCCTGCTGCTCCACACCTTACCAGGACATACCTTCTATTTCTCCCCCTCCCTCTTTGTCCCATCAGAAGGCGAGTGACAAAATCCTTTCCTCTACTTTTGGTTCTGAAAAACTCCTATTCCAGTGCAGGGCAGCCATGCCGACACTGACAAATTTACTAAAGAGCTGGGCAAACACGTGTTGAGCATGGCAAAGCCTCCACTGCTGTTCTGACATGGCCAAGAGATAAAAATGCACCTTCCAAGGGTTGGAGACTCGCATCCCTGGGTGCCCCCAGCAGATGCTGAGCCCACCGCCTGGTTTTGAGCAACCCCACGGCTCTAGGCTGACCTTGTGCTGGTTTTTCAGCAGTCTGTCCTTGCCCTGACGGGGTTAGGATCTGAAGCTCTACTTGGAGCTCCATGCCAGCTCCATTCCTCCTTTCCCAGCTATGTCCTGCTCACCTGAGGCCTGAGAGGCTCGAAGCCGATGTACTCATCGTTGGGAATGATGGATGAGATCACCTGTCGGAGGAGAGAGCAATGACTGAATCCGGGCTGGGTGAGGAGACTCTCAAGCTTCATGCAAGGGTATCCACCCAGACCTGCTTCCTTCTGACATCCCAAGGTCAGGCATAAAGCAGAGCCACGCACATAGTGGAAAAAGCAGAGCTGGATTCCCAGAAGAGCTTCAACCCTTTGTGTCCCTATTTTTTCTGTCTTTACAAGGTTTCCTTAAAAGTATGTGAATTATTTA